TGATAGCTGATGTGTTACTTTTGAACTAATCTTTTTGTTTGAGTTTGTGCATACATGATTGAATGTCCTTAAGCTGCACAAAATGACCTAAAATTCATTATGTGGCTTAGACGAATATCCATCATTTTTGATAGGTCAATGACTAGGCTTTCATAACGACTTTTCCCTGCATCCTGAGATCTAGGTTCAGGGGAAGTCCATATGCTTGTTTTCCATGCGGAGATGCCATATTTTTGATATGGCCTTCCGAGAGACCCCAAACTGGTTGGCTATTTTTGTCAATCTGTCATAGCCAATCTTTCTGTCATCTTGCCTATCACTTTGATGAAGAAGAACTTGTATAGTTCTTCTATATTCATTAGACAACTTCTTGTACTTTGATCGAGTAGCATGTTGTAACTCTGAACTTTCTACCACTTTGGCTTGTAACATTGTTGTAATCTTTGAGTACTTGCCTGGCTTGTTGCCTTTATAATGTTGGTTTTGGGGGGACTTTGAATTTAATGATGACATTGCACACATGAAAGGAAATAATATTCCTCCTTTTTTGGGGCGGTGGAAGGGGAATTAAAAGAGCACAACCCCGCTTTTCTGAAAAGATTGAATATGAGCAATATGAGCAATGAAAGGGTGAGTATTGTTTTACTCTTAAATTAAATTGTGTGCCATTCAACAAGCCCCTTTATATAGGGATGAAAGGAGTAATATATGAATGTTTTATTGAATTCATTTAGTTTGATTTGGCTTTATTCCGTTTTCTCAATTTCGGTTCGGTTCGATTTAATACGGTTTGGAAAAATTACTACTAAACTCAAATCAAATTACATATGATACGATTTCATTCGGTTTAATTCAGTTTGGTATGGCTCTATTCGGTTAAACCGAACCACTTTGTCCACCCCCTAGATTTAAGGATTGAATCACCTCTTAAGGCGGTTCGCAACCCAAGGGGTGAAAGACTGAAAACCCCTGATTTGAAGTATTCACCTCAATGATTGGTGCAACCCAAAGAATATAATGTGCACAAGATTCTTATAATGGCTTCATGGCACCCCTGGGATGGAATATGTAGCTGCACCTCTTATTCACTTCCGGAGAGAGGAAATGCTTTGGGCAGAAACGCTGGAGGATGAAACGATGAAGAGAATGACAACCGGTCCAAGAAAAAGAAAATTCCCAAATTTCTTAAATCTATTATAACATTTTTTAGTCTAATTTTTATACAAAATATATAAAAATTTATAACTTTTCATTATCTTTCATTTGACACCAGTATAACATATACTATCTATAAAGTTGAAAAAAAAATGAAATTTCAACTGCGGATGATTTTAAGATCCAAATTTTTTATTAGGCAAATCAAAATATAAAAATTAATATATAATGGTTTGATTTTTCTAACACCTTTCAGTTATTTATTTTTGAAAAATAAGTCAGAAATAAGAATAAATTTTTTAAACTCCAAATATATTTATTTTTGCATCAAAGTGTTTGTCTTTTTAAATCATAATTATTTGTAAAAAAAAGAATTCGGCAAAAAAAATTATCTATAGTAATAAAAACAAGATTGCAATAAAAAAATGAATGAATATAGTGATAGTGCTGAATTATAAGAAAAAGGGAAAACTATCAAATAAGCCCCCGTACTATGTCGAAAAAGTCGATTAGGCCCTCGTACTTTACAAACACTCAATTAAGTCCTCGAACTATTAAAAAACGTTCAATTAAGCCCTTTTGGTCGGTAAGTAATCGGTTTCCCGGTTAAACGGCGACGACGGCGACGATGAGCTCGAACCCCAGCAACGGCGGCTGCCGGGAAACGGGTTACATTTAACCGGGAAACCGGTTACTTACCGACCAAAAGGGCTTAATTGAACGTTTTTTAATAGTTCGAGGACTTAATTGAGTGTTTGTAAAGTACGAGGGTCTAATTGACTTTTTCGGTATAGTACGAGGGCTTATTTGATAGTTTTTCCTAAGAAAAAATTGAATTGACAGAAAAGGTTGTGAATTTGTGATTAGTATAAGGGAGTGTTTGCAACTGCTTCTGCTTAAAAAAAGCACTTTTGGAGATGTAATGAAAAAGTGATTAGTAGTAAAAGTTGATAGTGTTTGAGAAAAAAGTGATTTTGAAAAGTAAAAGTTGGTAGTGTTTGGTAAAATAAGTGGTTTTTTGTGTAATAGAAAAGGGAAAAACACTTTTCACGCGCAAGCCGAGAAAAAGTAAAAATTGGAAGTGTTTGGTAAATAAGTGCTTTTTTAAGCCAAAAACTGAGAAATGCTTTTTTTTAAGCTATTGCAAACACTCCCTAAGTCGTGAGTAGGGGACCAAATTCGTGTCCAGACTTAGAAATCAAATGCTGGATCTAACAAAAGGAGGACATTGGATTTAATTGAGGGGCCAGGTCTGAAAAATAAAAATAAATAAATAAAACCAGCTTATTTTTGGAGCTTCAAGGCAGCATAGAAAAACACCACACAGAAAACTCCATCTCCTGTCGCACAGCACATACTCCGTATCATCTTTGGATTCATTCATACTCTGCATTTTTTCTTGAAGTTATTCAAACTCTGCATTTAATTTTTAACTACATGGATTTTTCATAAGAGAAATGCTCTTTGTACCCATTTTAAAACCCACCATATACCCACTATATATACTCCCAAAAATAATTACCCCCTTTCATTCTCATTTACCCCTTCCCCCATTTCTCCTCTCTCCCCCAGCTTTGTTGTACGCCCCATCTCTCCTCTCCCCCATCCAGCTCTTCTACGCCATATTCTCCCCCCTTTTCCTCCCCCATTTTTTCCCTCCACCCAAGCTCAAACTCATTCCAACGGAAGATATAAAGACAGTTGATGTACTTCTTCTTTCCCAACGAGCAGCCACTCTTCAATGTAAAGTTTAACCTATAATTTTCTCTACCTTGTTCATTGGGTTCTTTATACATTTTCTCCTTTTCCTTTCTTCATTTCACTTCTTTTCTCCTTTTCCAAATTCCCGAAATAAACTTTTAGGGGTGTTTGCAGTTGGAATCGGTGCACAAGGCATGGATGAGAGGTCAATTTGAGCCGCTCGATCAAGAAGCCCCCACCAACCAGGTGAACCAGCCCATACATTGAGGTAATAACCCATTCGATTCTAGTGATTGTTTTACTGATTGTTTTTTTTACTGATTGTTTTTTGTTAATTGGTTCAAGATTCTAGTTTTCTTGTTTCCCAATTTTAAAAATGATGTAGGTATTTTTATTGTGAGCATAATGCACATTCAATACAGATCTTCCCTGAGATGTCTTTGTTGCTGTAATTATACCACAGTGGTAGAAAGCCTTTTTTCCATCATTCAACCCTTGACCTTTTAGATGGAATATAGAAATCAATGAGCTGCTTGTAAATGAAAAAAGAAATTTACTAAAAGATGTTGAGCAAGACTTGACCGCTAAGACAATATTTATAGCAGTATAAGTCACAAATTGTGGTTCTTAGCGGTCACATAAGTCACATGTAAATATGTTAAATAAATAGTTTATTATACTTTTACTTTTCAATCCTAAAGTTTGCATTTCTTATATACTATCATTTGTTTATAGCATGAGTTTGGGAGCTGTTACTACGGCAAATATGTGCAAGGAAATTTGTACCAAAAGTTACAACCATGACGTTAAACATTGATTGAATTTTAAGAAAGATCTGAACACACTTCTTAGCACTGTTAAAATGTTTCTAAGCAATATAAAGGAGCAACGCTCATGTTCAAGGTTGTTCGGTTAATTTTCTGTTGTTCATTGTACTTTATATGGAACCCAGAAATGGATTTATTTTGCTAAGGAAATGATTACTATCAATGGCCTTGTTTTACAGATTAATCCACTTGTTTATCATGTCTTGTTTAGGATTCATCCCACAAAAATGATTGATTTATTTTATCTTGGGCAATTTTTTATTTTCTAGTTTTGTAGTTCAACCTTTTTTTTGCAGTTTAAATTATTATTCTATATGCTCATTGTTTGACTATTTTATTTGATAAGTATCAATTGACTATTTGAACATTAGTTTTTTTTTTTTTGCAGTTTGAACCATTGGAGGAATTTATCTTGTTGCAAAAGCCACTACTACTTGCTTCATCTCAATGTGCAGAGTTGGATAAGAGTTAAATGCAATGTTGTGCTATTAACTTTCTTAATTAATCAAATTGGGAAGTTAATATTTTTGTATTTACAATGAGTATAATTAGAGTTGCTTGTGTTTTCAAAGTTTATCTTTTGTATTATGAAAATGACTTTGAATGTTGCTAAAGGAATTGAAGTTGTGCTATTAGCCTAATGCTTTTTAGCTTGAGATGGTGATTCTTATAAAAATAGAATGTCTATGATGCTCGCAAACAAAATAATTTTAGGTAAGCTTGTTGCCACGCACGGAAAATATAAACAAACACATAAACAATTACTTCGTATTTTCTACGCACAGATAAAATAAAGGAATGAACAAATAGACAATGTTTTCTATGTGTTCATAGACAATGTTTTAATAATGCATAGACAATATAAATGAACATACAAAAAATAATTTTTCTATGCACAAAAAGAAATAAATTAATACACAAACAATGTTTTAAGCGCACACAGACAATATAAGTGAACATAGACAATTTCTCGCAATTTCTATTGGAATAGAAAATTATGAGAAGTCACTTCATACTTGGTTCAAAGACAATTCATCTCAACTTATTAGTTTGTTTAAGTGATTATTGTCTGTGGCCAGACAATTTAAATCTAGTTCACAAACAATTTTACTTATCATATTAACTCGCTTTAATGGTTATTGTCTGTGACCAAACACTTTTTATGGTTCACAAACAATTTCACTTACCATATTAACTCGCTATCACTATTTTCTATGACAAGACACTTCATATCTGTACAGACAATTTCACTTAGCACATTAGCCTATCACAATGGCTATTGTTATACAAAAAAAGATCAAACTTTTCATTAATTACTCAAATTGTTATACAAAAGATTCTGAAATAACACCAGCTGTGTAAATTAGAAGATGCTAAACTTGAACAGTATGACAATTGTATTTGCAACAAGTCAAAGGTCTTTACTTCTCCAAACGGGCTTATAAGCTAAAACAATGTTGGACCAATTTGAGACCTTTTCAGCAGTTGTTTTGTTTGAGAAGCAACTACTTTCATTGTAGCCCCGCAAGACGGCAAATTGCTAGATCGTCATTCGTCAAAACTCCGGCATCCTCGCCAGTCGCCAGAATTCTGTCACCACCTTACCGCTGCCACCGCCAAATGCCAGAATCAACCTCCAATAAAAAAGAACAAATCAAAACTTTTAAAGTTTAAACAAAATGCAACCTGCATTAGAAACTTTCAAAAGATCTTAAAAACTGCCTTTAGAACTTTAAACATACCTCAATTTTAGTAGCTTACATTTTTTAGTCTTCTTTAACATTATTATGACCCCATTAAGGGTGTGCTAAAAGGATGAACGTGTAGAGGAGTGTCTCTACAGTGGCCAGTAGCATGTTTTGATTGATGCTGCAAAGGAGACCCACCAAATTTGATCAAATACAGAGCAGTCTTGGATGTCATCTCGTTTTACATGGTGTTTAGATACTCAACTGGACTTTTGGTAATGGTTATAACTGAACGTAGGGTGTGAGGGGATGAGTTATTGTTGCCCGGAGAGCGGACAGAAAAGAATCAAGAATCAAACATAAAAGAGAACTGTCCGACTCCCCTACCAGTTGTGCTGCCGGAATGGGTCACATCTTCAAAGCAGCTGTCCGGCTCCCCTTCAAGTGCATGTAGACAGTTGTTGTGTTGCATATCCCCATAGAGCAACCTTGCAACCCCGAGCTGCAGATCCCCAGTGGCGTAAAGCTGCCCGACACCCCTACGAGTGCAACCCACGTGTTCTTCTTCCATGCCCTTACTGGTTATTCAATTCCATTAACTTCATAAGATGAAACGCAGATATAGATGAGATGAAACGCAGAGGTAACCTGCTATGTCAAAAAATACAACTCTCCAAGTGCTAAAATCCATTAAAATCTAAATAATTCCATCAAAGTGAAATCCAATAAAATTCTCATAGAATCCGTAGCACTCCATTAAATTCCACCAAATCCACAATCTTTAAAACTCCATTAAAATCCACTTTGAAGACACCCTCCTTAACATACTTACATGGATTGATCCATGTACAATAAAGTTTATAGGCTAACATTGCACTAATATACTAGTAAAAGCATAATAAACGTATTAATATGTCAATGAAAATATCTACATCATTATTCAAATTAAAAAACAAGAAAACTAGAATCTTGAACCAATTAACAAAAAAGAATGAGTCAAAAAAAAGGAGAGTAAAAGTCTTGACTTTAAACAAAAAAAAATCATTGAGTGATTTCATCAAACATGTTATGAGCATAAATTTGAAATAGAGTAATTGAATTAAAATTTCAATAGTTAACACTACATTCTCTTACAATAATACCAAATATTCAACTAATCAGTGTTATACCATACATTATACACAAATAATCAGAAATTTTAAATAAACAAAACCCTAAAGTCCATTGAAAAACAAAAACCTAAGGTGCAAATAGAAAAATCGAATAGGTTTTTTATTTTTTGCAAAAGAAAAATCGAATAAGTTATTACCTCAATTTATGGACTAGTTGACAAGGGCTTCTTGTTCGACCGGCTCAAATCGACCTCTCATCCAAGCCTTCTTCACGGATTCCAGCTGCAAAAACACCGTTGATGAGCTTGGACTTGAAGACAGGTGACCACCTAAAAGTTTATTTCTGGAATTTGGAAAGGGAGTAAAGAAGTGAAATGAAAAGGGATGAAAAAGAAGAAACAGAGGATAAGGGTTGAGATGGAGAAGGAGAGGGGTGTGGCGTAATAGAGGGATGTGAGAGAAGGGAGTGGGAAGAAAATGGGTAAAGATGTGGAATCGGGGTAAAAAATTAAAATCCTTTTATAGTGTGTACATGGTGTGTACAAATGTGTGTACAAGAAGCATTTTTGTTTTCATAATTACCCATGGATTTCGACTTCTTGTTCGTTAGTTGATCCTTTTTCTAAGTTCGATCAAGTCCAAAGAAGCAAACATATTCATATGTGACATTTTTCAACTTTGCTTTCCTTACTTTAGAAAGTGCAAAAAACAAGTTTAATTATTTTCTATATACCAGTATAATTTAAATTTTGTACTCGGTACTAAAATTTTATTTTTTGGGATTATTCCCTCAAGATTAAGTGTCGTTTTGGTGATCTTATTTTTCGGCTTATCAACCAGTTTTTCATTAAACACATAACTTTTGATTTCACTCGTTGAATTGTGTAATAAGCAGAAAAAGTAAGGTTGAAATTACTTTTCTGGCTGTATTGACTGAAGTTACTGTAGAGAATCATTTTAGCTATTTTTTCATATACTCCGTAACTTTTATTTTATTCATTAGTAACAAATAAGAGTATTTTAAATATAATTTTACCATAAATCAGCAAAATCAGCCAATACAACCACTTCAACCAGAACTTCATAAATTTCAGCAGAATCAGCCAATTCAGTCAGTTTTAGTGTTATCAAACGGGCTCTAAAACATGTTAAGACTTTACCCTAAAAAACATGTTAGAATTTCAAAAATAAGTGTTGACGTTTTTGATGTCCGGACAAAAATATGATAAAAAAATGTCCGGACGAAAATAACTCTGCCGCAGGAACTTTGCCGCCCCTAGACTACGAGTTGTTGTCGCAACTTTGCCGCCTGGCCGTCGTCGCCTATGCCGACACCACCAATAGACTATTGTCTGACACTCTCTCTCTCTCTATATATATATATATATATATATATATATATATATATAGTGTTCTTCCTGTCCGGAAATTCCGGACAGGACCCTGGTCCGGCCACCTCAATTTGAGGTGGTTCCCAGAGGTATTTTTTGCTCAAATTTTTTGTGTATGTTTCTCATCAAGTCTAGTTCATATTCTGGACCAGTTAACTTGCAAAAATCATTTGACGATCTTCCCGATTGATTTTTTTTGCTCAAATTTGGTATGGATGAACTAGACTTGATGAGGAACATACACAAAAAATTTGCGCAAAAAATACCACCGGGAAGGCCCCCAAATGGAGGAGGCCGGACGGGCCTCCTGTCCGGAATTTCCGAACAGGAATAATCCTCTATATATATTATTTTATTATTAATCACTTTCATAATTATTATTATTGTCCCTAAGACTTTGTGACAATCAATTTGTGATTTCTAAAACTTAGTCCACTCAATATTATTATTATTATTGTCCCTAAAACTTATAGGCCGTTTGGAAACTTGTTTTTCCGTTTATCGGGCTTATCAGCCAATTTTTTCACCAAACACATAACTTTTGTTTTCGTGCGCTGAATTATGTAATAAGCAGACAAAGTAAAGTTGAAGTTACTTTTCTGGTTGCATTGGTTGAAGTTACTGTAGATGATCATTTTAGTTATTTTTACATACGGAGTATGATTTTTTTCTTTATTTTATTAATAAAATATATTTTAAAAATAATTTATTCTTAAATCAGCTGAATTAGCCAATGCAGCCACTTCAACCAGAACTTCATAAATTTCAACAGAATCAGTCAAATCAGTCGATTTTCGTGCTACCAAACAGGCTCTTAGTCACTTTCTTTTTTAATCAATAAATTTGTGATTTGTATTATTTCTCTTTTCTTTACATAAACCTCATTCACATATACTCCGTATATTTTCCTCCCTCCGACTCTTAATTAAGTTCATAGTTTGACTTCACACATATTAAGAAATAAATTTCACTTTACTGTGGAGTACACTGTTTGAACACTGTTTGATACTGTTTAAACACTGTTTGACACTATTTGGCACTGTTTGACACTGTTTTGGTGTAAATCATTTGCCAAATAAGGTAAGATTTGAAGTAGGAACTTTAATATGGACCATCCCAAAAAGGAAAATAGGAACTTAATTACAGGACGGAGGGAAGGGAGTATTTTATTATTTATGGTGCCTCTCAAATTTTGACAAGGTTTTGAAAGACCAGTACTTGGTAATTAGTCAGTAGTAAACATGCACCAGCATAAAATCGTGTTTTAGTAAAACACCGGCGTATATACTCCTTTTATTTACTCCGCATTTGACCCTGCTTACACCACGTATGCCCATCACTCCATCTTCTCTACTCTCTCTAAGCACTAAAAAAAAATCTGTTTTTTTCTCTAAGCACTACAAAAATCTGCTATTCGAAAGCTTCGCCATCATAGTCTTTGTAATTCCTCGGACGAATCAGAAAACTGGAGCTACTCTAGACCAGCTCCAAGTTTTTTTCCTTGCTGGTATGCATTTCTCTTTAATGTAATTTCACTTCACGCCTTGGTTGAGCTACACTAGTCGTTGAGCAAGTTTCCATTTGGGAAGCTCTATTGGATCTCTCTAAAACTCTAGTATGTCAATCACCAACATCTACTTCTCTAGAGTGTGATGTGTTTTGACCCGTCACATTCTACTTTTTCTAAGTGTCACAGTCATACTATCGAACCACCGTGTTTGTTAATATTTAAGATGTAATTTTAATTACTTGGATGAAAATTTTCTAGTCTAATCTGATAAATGTTTGGTCCGAGATTGAAAAACAGTCCAAGAAAAGGATCCTTTTTCCCTTAAACCATGGCGTTTTGCATTGCCCAGTTTACCCATGTTTTTCGTATTTCGAAGGAACATACTTTACATTAAAGTGGATGAAATTTTAAGGTTTGGGAAATCCGGAGAAAGTTTTATTTTGAGGTTGTAGCATAAAAAGTTAAAAGGAAAGTTCCATCTCAATCTTGTATTTAGCAGAATGGATAAGCTTTTTGCAACTAGATTCCCAACCACACGGTCCAAGTTGTATAATTTTCTTTTTCACTAAATTGGTTGTTGCTTCCAGCTTTCCACATTAAAGTGTAGCATTTGGGTGGGTGGATGGTTATGACATCAGTTACTACCTCCCAAATTGATTTGCAATATACTCTCATTAAAGTCAACTAATTATAAAATTAAATCATTAAGACAGTTAATTGATTTCATTTACATATTCATAAATAATATTGAAAATTTTATAAAGCTGACGGAGTAAAATAAATCTTTAATTGTCAAAATAGGTGTAAAAATTCCCTACATAAAATTTATTATTTGTAGTTAGACAGAAATACCCTTGAAGCTTGGCAAACCCTACTGCCGCCACAGATCTAGCTGTCGTTGCTGCAGATCCGGCCGCCGCTGCCGTTGAAGATCCGGCTTTCGCCGCCGCAGGTTTGGATTGCCGCCGCAGACAGCTGTTGGAACTCCGCCGCCACCTCCACTGCTAGACTTCCCGCCGCCACCTCCACTGCTAGACTTCCCGCCGCCACCCTACTGATCCCGTCACTTTTGCAAGGGAATTAGGGGCAATTATTTATACTTGGAAGGGAAAATATGGAATAAAAATCCTATGGAATAAAAATATATCTACTCCTATTTTGGAATTTAAGCAACAATTTAGTCTTATTTAGGGTAATAACCCCAATATATTCCCTCCATCCCATTGGACATTGTCAAGTTTGTATTGTATGTGAAATAACAAAAGTGATAATTGTGAGTAGGGGCGGACAAACAGGTACATGAACCGTGGATCTGGCCGGGTAATACGGATATGGAGCAGATTACGGTCTGAAAAATTTAGGAACCGTACATGTATTAGAATTTGAACAAACCGCTACCCAGAGTCTGGACTGACCCGTTTTAATTTTTTTAAAGTCTATTATATGTAATATAATATACTAACAACACTCAAAAAAAATTATATTCATGATTTATTGAAAAGAGTTTCTAAATCCATATAAACTTCTAAATTAATGTGCTCAACTCTTTATTCTAAATGCATCAATTTTTTTAAAACAAAGTCTCTTGTTCAATAAAGTATGACATAATAATTTAATTATCTTAATATTACTTACATTTTGAGATTTATTAAGTTTTAAATTGTTTTCTTAAACATATACTACGTATGTATAATGACTAGTCTAATTTCTTATAATTTTGTGGTGCTATCTTTTTTTTATGAATGATAATGTCTTATTTTTTACATTTCAAAGTTTGGTACGAAGTATTATATTTTTATTTTGAATTTTTACTATGTTATGGTGACATTGATACTTAATTAGTTTGTGAATTTTATTATCTACTAGACATTTTGTTAGTGTAGCGCTATGTTTTTAAGAATTGAGAACCCGACCCGACCTGACCTGACCTGACCTGTTTCAAACAGGGCGGGTAAGGTCTGGTTCCTATTTTGAGACGTGATGTACCCAGACCAAACCTACCCGTTCAATGGAACTAGCAATTCTAAAAAAATTATCAATAACCCGGATCGACCCGGACCGTGCCCACCCCTAATTGTGAGGTTGAGAGTTGGGCAGAGGAGAGAAAGGTCGAACTACAAATTATTTATTAAAGGGAAAGTAACAAAGTTTTTGGCACAAACAAAAAAGGAAAGTTGACAAAAGGCCAATGGGTTTGAGGAATAATAAACAATTAATAATTTAATATCATAAATAAGTAATTAAAATCAAACCATGTTGACCAAGAAAAGCAGACTGTGCAAAACATTTTTGGGAGTAAGAAACAGTGATGCAGAGCTGTCTTCAAACAGTGATGCAGTGTCTTCCCTGAGGACTGAGGCTACTCTATAAATTGGAGGATTTGCTATAAGTTTCGTTAATATTTATCTTTTTATTTATACATAATACACGTTTATATATTTGGTGTTTTTACATTGCTTGGGCATTTATTCTTTTATTTGTTGGTTTGTTCCAAACTAGTTAATTTATATAACTTCTCCTAAATTCCCACATTTTATATGTTGTTTCTATGATATTCAACTGATCTGAATTTATGTAAATCTAAATTTATGCATTCATTAAAATCTTGATTTTTCCAA